TTGAAAGATAAGTTAATGGTCAATATGGTGTTCATTGTCTCTAGACTAGTAAAAAAGTTAGATTATCTGTTCTCCAATGTTAAAAGAAATCCAGTGGTAACTAAATTTTATCATTCTAGTGATCACATTGGGAATAACAAGACCACTGAAACTTATGTATTTCAGACTATATTATACGGCTCCACCTAGCAAATTAAACCATGAACTGAATTCAGTGAGGAATTCAGGAAAATACAGATAAGATATAAATCTTTGGCCTAAATCCAATAGCTAGTCCCAGTTAGAATAGACTCAGTGAATCATAACTGCTGAATAATAAGTCAACACTTGCATGAATCTATTGATTCAATGGGCAAACTGTGATTGAAACTAGTGATTGGATTTAGGCCTAATATTTAATCATGGCTAGAAAAGTGTTCATGTGCATACTACTTTAGTAGAATGAGCTTTGTAGCATGGTAAATACAATTCTCCATGGATATTTTTATGAGCAGGGGTCATGATAGTCCCCATATGTATACAATGAATTCTGAAGCTCTAAGCTTTCTGAGATAGCTCTTTATATGGACAAATGAATTATTATCATTGAAAAGTTTTAACATTGAGTCGCTGAAGAGCCTCCAAACATGTGCATGCTCAAAAGAATCTTTGACTTTCCTCTTTCTCTGCATTTTATATCACTCTGTATCAGAGGCAACTTGGGAGCCCTTTTATGCTTTTTCTTTTTTTAAAAGTTTACTGATACAGAAGTTACAGTGTGATGAAGGTGAAGCAAGGAAAACAACATTTTATTGCATTTTCTGGTTTAATTCTGTAGTAAAGACTTGCCCATAAAATGGCTGCCTACAAGATATGAATCTGCAATGAAATATATATACAATTCAGAGTAGGAGTGCATTTATTTGTTTCAAAACCCAGCCTTGGTTAACTTTATATTTTTAGTTTATTATCCATGTAATGTAAATATTCACCAGCAACATACTAAACACACAAATGTTAACATTTAACTTCAGTAGGGCATGAACGTTTAGTACTTTGTTTATGTTAACTCCCAGGATTCGCAAAGCATGCCATATCTTCATAGTTACATTCAGAAAACCTAATTTCACAGAACACAAACACCTTGCTTCGTCTCATGTTGCTT